ATGTACATTTATATCTGATTTTTAAGAAAGGCTGGTGATTGTTTGTATTATTTGTTGTAAGTTATCATATTTGTATTGTTCTAACCATTTTATAATCGAGTCCTGAAACTTTTTTGACCTGTATTGTACAATGTCTTTGTATGATCTCAGTAACTTGTTATAAAGACGTGGGGCTATATATGTAAAGTGACGTTTAACAAGTGTTGAGTGAGCTGTTGGAACTTGGTATCTGGGAACTCTTCTTGTTACCAAGGGTGTATATGGAACTGTTTTGCAATGAAACCTACATAGTAAAAGGAAAACATAAAGTTTACGGACTGGGAGAACCATTGCTTGCTGATAGAGTTGTTCTGTTGGGAATTTATATGGTAGATTTAAAGCTACTTTAAGTCCAGCTCTTTGAGCTCTTTCTGATTGTACGAGGGTCAAACTGAAAGTTCTTAGAAAATCAAAAACTGATTACATTAGCCAGTTATTAGTTTTATTATATCTTTTCAAAATATTGTCCATTCACGTCAATACACCGCTGCATGCGATGGAACCACTGGGAAAAGCACTTTGCCCACTCGTCCTTAGGGGTCTCTTCAATGGCATCGCGATACGCAGCCACCGCTTCTTCAGCATTCATAAACCGCTTTCCTTTAAGTTTTTCTTTAATTTTTGGAAATAAATAAAAATCACAAGGCGCGAGGTCGGGGCTATACGGCGGGTGACCCAGTAATTCAACGTTTGATGTCGCCAAATAGTCGATCGTTCGCTTGGCGGTGTGCGACGAGGCGTTGTCGTGGTGAAGGAGGATCCTACTGCGAGGTCGTTTCTCTCGAACTTTTTCCAAGACAAGTGGCAAACAATTGGTAGTGTACCATTCTGCAGAAACTGTTTTTTGATCCTCTAACACAATTGTTGCAAAATGACCTATCCTTCCAAAGAACGAGGCCACCATTTTTTTTCCCGCACTTCGATCTCTCTTCACTTTAGTTGGCAACTCCTCGAAAGGAAACACCCACTGAGCAGATTGTCTTTTGGTTTTAGGATCATAACAGTAAATCCAGCTTTCGTCACCTGTTAGTATGTCGAACACAGCATTTGAGTCACCTCCATTAAATCTTTCAATCATTTTACGACACCAATCCACACGATGGAGTTTTTGAGCCTCAGTCAAATTATGAGGTATCCACCGGGCGCAAAGCTTCCTGACCGCTAAATGTTCGTGGAGGATTTTGTGCACTTGACTCATACCGATGCCTAAGCTTGTCCGAATCTGTTGATAGGTCACTCTTTTGTCAGTCTCTATCATACGCCGCACAACACAGATGTTATCTTTAGTCGTCGTCGTAGAAGGCCGTCGCTCACGTAAATCATCAGTGAGATTAGTGCGACCACGTTTAAACTCATTAAACCAGTTGTAAACAGTCGCACGAGATGGGGCTTCATCGTGAAAGGCCAATCGTAGTCTATCATAACTTTCTTGTTGACTTAAATGACATCGAAAGTCATAAAAAATCATTGCACGAAAATTTTCTCGTGTTAAATTCATGATGACGTGACACAGACAATTTTCAATTTGCCGCCAAATCGTAAAACAAATGACAAATGAATGAAATATATACTCAGTAATATTGGCAAAGAGTTATATTTTCAAATTTTAGAATTATATTTTTATTATATTGTTTATAAGTGGCCAGTTCTAAGAACTTTCAGTTTGACCCTCGTATCATATGTGTCTTTGCGGCACCTCCCCAAACACATATACTGTAGGTGAGTATACATTGACAAAGGGCTCTATAAGTCGATATAAGAAGTTTGTAATCTGCAGCAGTGCGTAGTTGTTTAAAAGCAAACATCAGTTTTCGAGCTTTTGCTGACACCGTGCTTATGTGTTCTTTCCATTTTAGATTTTCATCTACGATCACACCAAAGTACATAATTTTTGGAACGCGTAAGAGTGTTGGGCAATTGCAATTAAGTTTCATTTTCTGATTACATGGAAATGTGTGTAATGTAAGAGTTAAATTATTTTTCGGATCTTTAGCTTTAGTCTTACTGAAACAAGAATTTAGATTTTACAGAATTTATTGATAGGAGATTTTCCTCTAACCAATTTGTAATCCCACATAGACCTGTCTCTGCCACTTTTACTACCTCGCTCCACGTCTTACCATGAAATAAAATTACGGTGTCATCTGCAAACATAATTGTTTCAGCCTTAGGTAATTCTATATTACATAAACTGTTGATATATATTAAAAATAATGTTGGGCCAAGAGTGCTGCCTTGTGGGACGCCGTAGGTACACAAGGCTGTCTTACTGTAATAATTATCAACCCTAACAGTTTGACTTCGACCTGTCAAATAGCCAGTGAACCAAGCGTGCATCAGTCCCCTCACACCTAGATTTTCGAGGCGTCTTAGTAATATCGGAATTGAAACTGTGTCGAAGGCCTTCTGAAGGTCTAGAAATACACCAACACAGTTCATTCCCTTGTCCAGATGTCCTGTGACTAAACTAGTTAGATTAAGCACGGCATCCTCAGTAGACCTACCGGCTCGAAACCCATATTGATTTTCTGATAATGTATCTATTTTATTCATATAACAAACAAGGCTACGGTTTACAATTTTTTCTATTATTTTTGAAATTGTTGGTAAAAGTGATATCGGTCTATAGTTTGAAGGATTGCTTCGATCTCCTGCTTTGTATATTGGAAAAACCATAGCGCTCTTGAATACTGCTGGAAAAACCCCAGTAGAAAAACTTAAATTACAAATGAACACAATTAATGGCGTCAACAACAGTTTAAACATTTTTAGAAAACGAATAGTTATTTTATCCCCTCCACATGCACTGTTTGAATCTAGATTTCCTATAATATTATAAACTTCAATGGGGTCTGTAGGCAAAAGAGCCATGGTTTGACACGGCGTAGACGTAGTTTTTGTTTTATTAACAAGCACTGGTTCTGTTTGCTGTATCGGCTTTGCTTTCCTGTTGTAAAATTAAAAATTAGTACAAGTTCTAATTCTAATCTGCGATGTATTTTGAAAGGAATCAAGAAAAGTTGCTAGATAATTAAAAAACTAAGACATTTGTATTATAAAAAAAGAACTAGTCCAACAAACACAAATATCACGAATATTCTAGAACACTGAAAAAATGCATTTTCTTATAAAAAAAATACTAATAAGAAGTTTGAATTAAAAAGTAAAAATATATGTAAAGTTATACAAACTGAAATTGACATGACATATCAAAATTACATTGACAAAATTGAATTTAATGGTAATATTATTAATGATACTTCAAATATTTCAGAAATTTTTAATAATTAAACCAATAATTTTAACAATAATTATTAAAACATTAATGATACAATTAAATACTCAAATGACATATTAAATAATTCAATCTTTCTTACTCCCATTGAAATAGTTATAATTACATTAAATAATACAAAATCTGAAGGCTATGATAATATATGTAAATGTGTGAATAAAATATGTAAAGAACAAATTAGCCCTATTTTATAATTTTTGATAAATTTGTCAATGAAAACGGGAATATTTCCTGATAAATTAAAATACTCCATTGTCAAACATTTATATAAGAAAGGAGAAAAAACTATTTTAAAAAATTACACTGATTCCAATTTTATCATGATATATGAAAAAGTATGTATAACTTTTTCATATATCATGATAAAATTGAAACATATTTTTTTAATAAAAATAATTTGCTAAAAACCAATCAACATGGTTTTCAAAAAAATAAGTCTACTACACTTGCGGCCTTTGACTTAATTAACGAAATATTACAAAGCATTAACAAAAGCAAATATACGACAGCTCTTTTCTTTGATATGTCAAAGGCATTCGATTTCGTTCCTCATGAACAACTACAAAAAAATATATATAACAATGGTACGAGTATCAGAGGTAGAGCTTTAAATTGGATCAAAACGTATTTACAAAATAGAATGCAATCTGTTGAAATAACTAAATTAGATTCAAAGGGCTTAACTAGAAAGTATCAATCAAAATTAAAATAAAAAACATTGGAGTTCCACAAGGGGAGTGTTCTAGGATCTCTTTTTTTTTTGGTGTATATTGATGACCTACCAAATAAAAGAATTTTATTTGCTGATGATATATCAGTGGTAGTGACGACTAATAATAATATGAAAATTTCTGACCACGAAAACGACATAAATAATACAATGACCATAGTAAACTGGCTTAAATTACATAACCTGACAATAAATATAGACAAGACATATTTTATGAATTTTAGTAAAATAATTTCTAATAATTTGATTATTAAATGCCAAAAATGCACGCTTGAAGAAGCTGATAATCTTTCAATTCTTAGGCATAACTGTTGACAAGAAACTAGATTGGAAACAACATGCAGAAATCGTTTGTAATAAGATAAATTGCTTTTCATTTGCATTATTTAAATTATCGAGAGTAGCAACAAGAAGTACGGCTCTCACAGAATACTTCGCTTATGTGGAGTCAATTTTACGTTATGAAATTATTATTTGGTGTAACGGTTCAGATGCGCAAAGGGTATTTATTGCCAAGAAAAAATGCATTAGACCCATATCGCTCCCGACGTTTTATGTAAGCAATGGTTTAAATTTCTCGGTATAGTCCTTGCTATATATTTGAAGCAGCGAAATTTGCCAAACGATACCCTGATTTTTACAAAATAGCGCATGAAATGTATCCCAGGAACACTAGAAATAAAAATAGACTAATTCTTAACATAGTCCCAAAAACATCTCTTTTGTATACCCTTATTCAAACGCAAATAAATAATTATTATTAAAAAAAAATTGGATTTTCGTACATCATTAAAACAGTAAATTACCCTAGTTAACTCTCATTGTGTAATTCCCAGCAACAATCATACAGTCAATATTATTTTCCTGCTATCTTCGTATTTATAAGCAGTGTAGCGGATGTTATGTTAGTTAGCTGCAAACATTCACAAGTGCAACATGAAGTTTACATATGGTAAGAGATAGCTTGTTACAATTCGAAGCATTTGGACATTTTGGCTTTAGTATCAGATATGGTTCAGAAATTTATAATAATAATAAATTTATACTGTCGCTGGTATGAAATATTGATGATTGACCACTGTTTAAGATAAATAAAAATGAAACTGTGGCGTACAAGATTATGTTAATTATTTATTTTATTTTAGGATTAACGTTCCTATTTTTCGCGGTCTTCCTAATGATGGGTGGGCAAGCGTCTGCGTGTATTTGCACAGCAGACTATACCCCTGTGTGCGCTACAAATGGAAAAACATACAGTAATATTTGCCGGTGAGTAATTAATAGATTTGTCACAATTCGATTTATAACATACAAAATAATTTACTTATTATATTTTATTTTACAATTTTTGGAAAACTTACAGCTGATGGAGAAATATAAAAACCCCTTAAACTCAATAACGCCAATTACAAGTTTTCACAAATAAATAAAAGATAAAATTTACACCCGGTTTCTGAATTGAGTATATTTAAAGTTAAATCACGTCTCAAAGTGTTCTTTCTTAAACGTTACTTAAACAGGTTTTCACTTCTAATTTAGTTTTATTAATGATTAGTTGATAGCAGTTTGATAAAAACTAGAACTTTTTGCCTTGTAAAAAGAAAAAAATAGTTATTGATAATAATAAGTGACATTGTTTGAAAAAAAAATTGCCCTAATATTCGTTCAATTTTATACTTAACAAGAAAAATACTTAATCGCAGTAAAAAAAAATAGATAAATAAATATTTTAAAATAGTGTTGTCTTTACTTTGTATCCCGTGTGACAATAGGCTAGTTGATAATTTTTTTTATTTTATAAATAAATAGTCCATTAATATTTGAGAAGTAATGTAGAAGTACAAGCATGTCTGCGATTAATAGTTTCGGTGATACGGTGCTATGTTTGTGGAAGTGCTGTTAGTCGACCGAAAACGCTCCCTACAAATTCAATGCACTAACTGACGTCACATGGTGCTACTTCTTTGGTAGAGAAAAACGTATGGGCGTCTAGGCAATCTTTGTTATTTGTGCGTTTATGTTTATAGCTGTTATATTTAAAGTTGTAACGTTGTATGTAATTAAATTATTGCCATATGTATTTTAGCAAATATTTGAAGTATATTTTTTTTTTATTTAATTTTTTTTTAAGTTTTCGAAGTGTAATATTTACCAAATTAGTGTCATAAAATTTATTCTGTTGAAATTTATAATTAAAATATATTCCGAACATACAACAGAAACCTAAATTTTCACTTGTAGGACACAAGCCTATTGAAAAGTATGTAAAAAGTTAGGTATTATTTAAACGGCCCATAAAAACTCTTTTAATGGTGATTCTATTCAATATTTAATATATTCGTCAAACGTATTTGAGTGACAATTGTGTTAGTGTAATATTGTTAACTTATTATTTTACAGAATGTCATGTGCCGGAGCCCAGCTATTACACAGCGGCGAGTGCGGCAAGAACCTCAGTTAAACTATCAATATAAAGACAAAAAATATTTAAATTGAATCACTCGAAAGATTTTCCTACCAAAATATCAATAAATTATATTAAAAAAAACACATTTTTAATCGAACGAGTTTTCTAATTTTCTGCCGCTTTTTATATATTTATTTAATTAAATAATATTATTGTCCAATTACTTATTTACACTTTTTTTATGTTCTCGCCCGCGTAGCATGACGAAACTCGAAAGACATCGAGTCTTTCGAGTTTCGTCATGCTACGCGGGTCATGCTACGCGTGATACATCAACGCTCAAAACCTCGAGAAACAGGTCGAGGATACGAAATGCCCATATTGCCCATACAATAGCTCATTTTCGATCAGTCTCCCTCCTGCTCCGTGGGTTGAAGTAAGTCAACGAGAGCGGTGTTATAGTATTGTGTAGAGATTATCCTACACTGCATAGACTCTTTAGCCAATAGCCAACAAGTATTCCATCAGCTTCCAGAATTTTAGAGTCAAAATTAGGTCCATTCCAATGCCATCAAATACCTTGGAGGTTCGCTGAATAATCATTTGCCAATTTGTCATATGATTTTGTGTTATTTCCTAATGCGCCAGAATAACATCGCTAGAATATATACGTTATTACGTTTTTTATTGATGAACATCGTAGCTGAGTGGTACTCACATCGATTGCAAGATGTTGCCATATCTGGGGTCCAGCCCTGCGATTCTGTAAAACTTCAAACCCGATTTCGAAATCACTCGGGTGTCCGAATTCACTTCAAAAAGCGGCATCCGCTCAAACTTGAATTGGTAATAAAGTTTCGTGAAATAAGTGAAGTGAGTTTGAAATATCTATGACACGTTTAATCAGTCAATTTTGTTTAGTATTTTTATACAAAAAATGGAATCAATATGATTTCGTTACTAAATGACTAGAATTCGGACACATGAGTGAATTCGAATTCGGGTCTGGATTGTTACAGAATCGCAGGGCTGGATTCGATTCCCGGTCACAGCAATGTAGAAAATTGATTTTTCTATATTACCTCACGTCTGGGTGTTGCGGTTCGTTCATTGTCTCAGATACTCCATAATACGGGGCCTTTAGCTAATCATCTTGGAATCTGAGCAATGTATGTGATATTGTGTAATATTTATTTATTTATTATTATGCTAACATATTATCAAAATAACGTAATATATTAAAGTCCTCGTCTTATAGAAATAACGAAGGAATCACAACCATCCAGTTCCGAGACAATACAGGTTTAATGGCACTGAGAAATTATCGAATGAGTTTTCTAAATCACAATTCGCAACTTAGGCAAGTCATAATACAATTACAACACATCATAAATATAAGTATTCTACAAATTAAAAGTATCACACACTAACATTATAAATACCTATTATCACTGATATCAACAATCATACACAAATATAATCATTTTCAATAACAAAAAACTAATATTATTAAAAAAAGTGATTGAATTTTGGCGATGACTAATTATAATGAATGTACCTACTGCAAACATGACTCCAATAAAATATTAGAAGATGTTCACAAAAAAGGATGTTACCATATGGATGTTATATATGTACCTACTATATGTATACATATGTACTCTTCTGGGTAATTCCCGACAGACGAATCATATTTTCCTGTTATCATCGTATTTATAAGTGGAATAGCAAACGGTAAGTCAGTTTGTTGCAAACATTCACAGATACAACATGAAGTTTACATATGGTGAACAAATTATTTAAGTTTTGGTTAAAAACTAGTGAGGTTGATAACAAATTTTGTTATAGGGTTAACGTTTGTATTTTACCTGGTCAGCCTAATGGTTGGCGGCCAAGCGACTGTATGTCACTGTAAAGCAAACTACTCCCCTGTGTGCGCTACAAACGGAGTTACATACAGTAATAGATGCCGGTAAATACATATTAGATTATTTTATGTTTATTATATTTCATCAATTATACATAGACATTGCTATACTGAAAAAGATTCTCAGTGAAAAATGCTTAATGAATCCTCTTTGTCCCTGGCACTCTGAGATGGGACTCGAACTTTTTGAGGTAGCAGTATTTGTTCATCAGAATATTCAAAAGTTTACAAAGGTGTGCGATATATCCGAAAGGTCGAGGCGCCATCCCCATAGACTAGTATTGGAAACTGTCCCAAAAACAAAACGATTCTTAAAGAATTGTACCTCTATGTGTCAAAATATCTACAATAAAATACCATTACAATTTAAGGACCTCCCTATTAAGCAATTCAAAACATTGTCACGTCGATGGCTGTTGAACCATACCTTCTATATAGTGGAAGATTTCTTAAATCACTAGGAATAGCATAGTTGTGGTCGATACAGAGTTTAATTAAATGATACTAGAAAGTAGTTTATAATCAATGTTAAAGTTGACAATTCACAAAATTATTTCAATAAATGTAATTAATTTAAATATGTTTAATATCTTAATTATTTAAAATGGTCATTGTTTTGAAATCCAGTTGAACTGATATTTGCATGCCAGTGAAATAATATGGCTAAATAGGTCTAAGTACATTATTGAAGACAACTATCCACTTCATTGTAATGTACCCTATTTATAGCAAATAAAGAATTATTATTATGAACCCATGACCTTTCGCGATCCGGGCGACTGCTCTAACCACTGTGCTACCCAGGACTTAACAGGACTGACGAATCTTTCAAGCACATGTTACTTTTTTGCTACTACAGAGAGTATTTCGATCAATGTTCATGCACTTCTGTTTACAACATATTTAACCTGCACTTTATATTTGAAATTGACAGAAACGACGAATCCTATCTAACTGTATTAACATCGTCAGACCAATAGCTAGCGCGGCGATGGCCGACGAAGACTATGACTCGTACGAATTTATATAACAACTGAGGATCTATTTATTATATTCTATTTATCCTCGAACGAGAATTCAGGAAACTTCGCATCGTTCTTATAGTTTTGTTAAATCACATCCGTGTAGATCATCTGTGAATCAGAGGCTGTGGCAGTGGCAGCTCCTGTCTCTGTTCCTGTATAAATTATGAAAAAATGCGTTTCATTAAAGTCATATTATAATTTCGAAAAGACACGTAATGTTATTTTCCGTTATATTCATTCGTGGAAACAAGATAACGTCAAAGTACCGCAGTCTACATCGCGATAATAAAGTTCCTTCACTGACTTAACATATCTTGTATTTCCAGTATATTCAGTCTGAGAACAAATCACGAGAAGTCATTCTTTGAAAAGTTACCCAATGTGATATATGCCCTGTTAGTTGCAATCGCTTTCATACAATTATAGTCATTTCTCCTATTTAAGAAGTACGTGATTGCAGTGTACCAAAGCGAGGTCAAATAGCGTTTGCTTGAGTACTTTTTATTTTTATTTTTGTAACTATTTAACTATCAATAAGTGTATTTAACCCTTTATATTGTTACTTTACAGAATGTCATGCGCAGGAGCACGGTTCGGCCACAACGGTGACTGTCATTAAATACTCAGTAAAGACAAGAAAAAAACAGTGATAATACCTAAAAGACATTGACTCAAAAGACTTACGAAAATTCTATAGAAAATTTGACTTCGAAAAAGTGAAAAATATCTCTTGGAACTCCTTTTGAAGTCAGGTGGAGGCTCCATGTAGGTTGTTAATATTAAACTGTCCAGTTTCTGTATTATATATTTTAATAAGTCAAAATAGAGACATTAAAATAATAGTTTTATTGAATGAAAATAATCTATAAATACATGACGAAAAGAAAACTTTTCGAGAATACAGACATAAAAGAAATATTATCTGTTTAAAACTTAATATTAGAGTGAACATCTTATTAAATTTGGAGTCATTGATTAAAATTCTTGACAAGATATTACCAGACAAGAGACCGGGAAACTCTCAGTCGGCATTTTTTACAACATCGTTATACATTTTTTTTATTTTGTTTACAATTTTTTTTACACATTAACATTAACCTGTTATTAATTACCGTATAAAAATAAGGCCAGTCTTGTTAAAACAAGACTGGCCAAAAAAGTTTATTGTGTTCAGGGTTATTATATGTATAAAGAAACACATACATATATGGGTTGATATATGTATGTGTTTCTTTATATCATAATAACTTTTGGAATACTTAACGGATATTAATGTATATGGTATCATTACATTAATATCCGTTAAGTATTCCAAATACTCTTATAAATATTCAATATGGCGGATGTATGACACCATTAAAAAAGTTCAAGATGTTTTTTTCTTTAATTATAGCAATTTGGGTATCAAATTATAAGTAGTAATGATTAGAATATTCCATAAAAATATAATAATTTGTATAGATTCTACGATTCAACAAAAGGAATAAAATAATTAAAAAAAAAAAACATGACTGCCAAAATTGAACTTAAAATAAAAGAGACAAGTTGTATTATGGCTTGGCTAAACAAAATTCTTTTTGCAGTCGGGGTTCCGTATAGATTACAAATGTTCCACAGAACGCCCTCCGTAATGCAATGAGAATCTTATTACATAATACAAGTTGTTCTTTTATGTTTTTACACCTGTTTTCATCGACACAGAAAAGGGAAGTGTTACATGCGTTTCTTGTAATTTCCTAAAATATCGTAGAACGTGCGTTCAAAATGAGCCTATTAAATTATTCATGTTGGTAAATCAACCTTTGCACCATTCTACTTCCTCAGTAACGTCTACGAAGGATAACATTTTATAACAAAACACAATTAAATGCCTCAAACACATCCAAGTGTTGTTTTCTAAACGAGAAGCATAATTGTAACCTCAACTTGATAGCACGAAGCCGTTTGACCTTGGCGGTGAAATTTACATAGTTGTAGAGAATAAACAAAGTAGTGAAGTAGGATTACTTGAAGCAATTTAAGCTACTTTAAGAGGGTGCGTACACCAATAATGACTATTCGTCTAAATAAACTGTAATTTAAAACGAAAATTATATTGTTTT